GTCGCCCCCTGCTGGAGCTCCCGCGCAGGTGCTGGTGCGGGCGCGCGCTGCGGGCCCCCGCGGGGACTCGCCCGCCCGCAGGAATTCCCGCGCCCGGGCCGTCTGGGCCTCGGCACCTGCCCAAGGCTCAGGGGCATTGTGGGAAACAGGAGGACTCACTGGCCCCGCGCGCGCCACCCTCCTCCCAGCTCCGCACCCCCAGGCTAGGAAGGCCTCCAGCCCTCTACCCTCCGTGACAACCCTCGGGCCCCCGAGGCTGCCCCCTGGGGCTCCTCCCTGTCCCGCGCGTGCACTTCCCTCTCCCGGACAGGCGTTTTGCTCACCCGTCCTCCAGACAAGTTGTCGTGGCCGCTCCTTCCAAAAAGTTTCGGAGGCCCCTTTGGGACGCATCCCTCATCCTCAGTCCCCAAAGAGTCTGGCCCCAAGTGTGGGCATGAGACCCGCAGCCGTGGTCTTGGTTCCCCGGCTGCCCCTGAGTCTATCCCTGCTTGTCCGAGCGGGTCCTGGGGACAGCGGCAAGCTGGCTGGGGCAGAGGCCGCAGCCCAGGTGTTGTGCGCGGTGGCCTCCTGCTGCCCCGGTGGGGAGGCCTCTCTAAGAGGGCGGGCGGCTTTCCCAGTTGGGCCTTCCTCCTGCAGCCCCCTCCCCCAGCCACCCAGAGCGAGCCCTCTGGCCCAGCCGTCACCTAGGCCCCGTGGACCACAGGTGGGCCTTGACTCAGGCTGAGCCAGCCATTCTCAGGGCCGGAGATGGGCCAGTTGGGTTCTGCCTGTGCCTGGTGGTGTCACGGGTGAATAGGGGCCTGTGGGGCAGCCTGTCCACCAAGGGGCTGGAAACTGAAATAGAAAGACAGAGAGATGGCCTGAATGGTCTTCCAGCCAGGCTCTAGACTTTCTAAATCAGCTATCCCTGTTCTTACATTCCAAGATGCATCCCAAGTAGGAATGCTAGATATGCGCAGGTCACTCAGTTAAATTTGAACTTCAGATACACAACGAATACTTTTTTAGTGTAAGTATAGGTATATCAAACATTGCATTGCTAAAAAGTATAACTATGTCCTAAACATTGATTTGTGTGTTTTTTTTAGTATAAGCATATCCCAAATACTGCATGAGGCGTATTTATACTAAAAAGTTATTTGTGTGTATCTGAAAGTTAAAGTTAACAAGGTGTACTGTACTTTTATTTGCTGACTTTGGCAGCCCTAACCCAAGACACTTTGGGTGCTGTGGGAGGAGAGGGCACTGGTGGG